AAACTTGCTGTCTCTGCCATTTTTCTAACTATAAAAGCAAAATAAAACTTTACTATTATATTGAATTCTCTTACCAGTCCGGAAGAAAGCTGTTGTGGAGTTCGCTCCCTCAAGTTGTCTTCACCTTTTTTTATATGTTTCTTTTGCCTTTCAAAAAACATAAAGTACGAATGTTTCTCCCTAGCAACAGAAAGTGGAAGATAGAATGATCTATAATGCTTTTAGCTTGTTTTATTTCTTCAGCTACCAGCAACACATTTCCTGATACAGGTAAAACACAAATTTTACCTGCCGACAAGTTTTTCCTCTCTCAGCTTCTCTTATCAAAAATGCTGACACAACATGGTATCTCCCATTGGGTTCACCTCCTCTCATGTATTTACATGCTACCAGTTCTAAGCTATGAGAACGCTCTATGTTTTTATATCTTGTTACTAGACTTTTACAGAATATGTATTAATTAAAGCAATACTAGATTTTTGCTAATAAAAAGACAAATTTGTTAAACACTGTTCTCTTATTATATAAACTATAAAATGACAACAAAAATACAATAATTAATATTATGAGTCTATAATTATATAATAAGATTACAAACACAGAAATGCTGTTTTCAAAACTAGTTTGTATTATCTAAGAGAAGGCAAAGTTACGTTTCTATAAGTTATCTAAGAGACTCATATGTAATGAAGGATGAATAATTAACCAATTCAGTGTGTATATTATGTAGAATCATGACTGATTAATGTAGACTACAGAGGTGTGCAAAAGTGTTTGGATTTGTTAGAAAGAGTTTCATGAAAATCTGAGCAGCTGCCAGGGATGTTTTGTTTTCAATTACTGATCTTTGGTCATTTATATTTCTGTCAGTGATCAGTGTATATCAACCCTGACATTTTTTTGGCCCCTATAGGTTTTCACTAACTCCTTAGTGTACACCAGCCTTTGCCTTCCAACCCAAATGAAAGTTTTCAGGCTCTGCCACAAAGATGCGACAGAATAGATTTTAAAAAGTTGTTGAAAAACTTCTAATCTAACTTTCAGTTTAGAAGATGTTATTAGCTGTTCATAAATAACCAAGGTATTCTTAAACTAAAGTACTGCTAATTTAATGAGCTTGTGTAGGAATTCTAAGTCACTCTGGAATTACAGTCATAGAAGAAAATGTTTCACTTGGTTGACTTTTTATGAATTTTGTGCAACACTAGTTTGAAAGTATAATTTGGTCTTATTTTCTCTAATCCATTAGATATTACCTTAAAAACCCACAGCATGGTTATTTCCCTCTAGAGAGGAGCTAACATATCTGAAGAAAAACCCTCTTTGAAAATAATATATAAAGACTGAATTCAAACAAAATACCTTTGTGCTGTGTGATAACTAATCACTCCACTCCACTACCTTATTAAAAGCTTATTACTCTTGATGGGTAAAAAAAAACAACCAATCATCTAGGTCCTCATTTATATGCTCTGAGTAGATGATTGGCATGTTTCAGTGAGTATCCAGATCTGTGCAAAGCAGACACTGCTTAGAGCCACCAGCAGTTGTGCTGATAAAGTCAGCTCTATAAATAAACGGAGTGTTCTGAAAGTTTCCATGTCAGCACTTCATTGTCCTGCAAAACAAGGGGATCTGGACTGGACCACAGGTGGGGCTTGACTGAACTAATAAGGACCCAAGAGACGAATGTTGCTCCGGAGGGTGTTAATGTGACATTCCCTACAGGAGCAAGACTGTCCCATTTCTAAAATAGTTTTGTGACATCATTCCTCCAAAAACATAAGAGAAAAAGAAGTAAAAGGGCAAAATATTCAGAGTACATGTTTTTACATGTTTAGAAGTTGTTGTAGACCAGTTGAACTCAGTAACTTTTTATTAGACAGCCAATATTGCAACAACTCTGTGCAATTGGGCATTGCAATTTATCAGGATAAATCGTGATAAATATATTTTTCTGAAATTTAAACAGAAAATCAGAATGGAAAAGAAAGGTTGATTTAATTTATTTTAATGTGGCATGGTCAGAAGGACCTGACAGGGTGGTCATTTTGTTTTAATTTTAACCAACAAATATTTATCTGCTTTTAAAGAGTATGAATTAACCTATATTTGTGAAAGAGAGTCTACATAATGGATCCATACTATACTGTAGAAAGGCAGCAGGAGAATTACTTGTTCCCACCAAGTTAGTAGAAAACAATCTCTGAATGCACAACATATTAAGTAGATGGACCATAGCAGCCAGAGATGGTTAAATGGACTGAACTTGTCATGAAACGCGGACAGAGGGACCCAGTATTCAAGGAGAGACAGTCAGTAGGAAAGTTCAAAACGTTTACTAGATAAACAAACCAAACAAAAGCGGAGCTGTGGCTTGCAGACGCTGCAGGATGGGGAGCAGGGCACCGACACTCTGCAGGAGAAACACAGGTAAGTGACCACGATCATCTGACAAAGGATGATTATGAGTTGGCCACTTACCTGGTTTAACAGTCCAGTCCTAGAATGTCCCCAAGTGCTGCAGTTCCAGAGGACATGCTGGAAGCTGATCCTGGTCAGGGATCCAGAAAAGACAGGAACAGGATCCAGATCAGGCAGGAACAGAACAGGTGGCAGGATCCAGGCTTCCAGGCATCCACAAGCTCCCAGGAGGGTTCAGAGTCTGACAGGGTCTGAAAGCATGACCAGATGATCACGCACAGGAGCAGACAGGATCAGGTGCAGATGAGCAGGCTCAGTGGAAGAGGGTAGCAGAGACAGGACGTGGAACCAGAACTTGATGCAGGACCTTTAAACTGGTCTACACCTTGGAGCCAGGCTTACTTGGATAAAAACTGAACCTCTCCGCATATAGAGCCAAAAACCCAGAGGACTCAGCAGGGCAGGTAGACGATTAGGAAACAAGAAAAACACAAAAACCCTCTTTCCTCTGGCCGCCAGGATCCAGGACATGAACCAGGAAATAAACTGAACAGACAGGCTAACAGAAAAACAATTACTGATCTGGCACTGAATGCTCAGGCTGAACTGAATATAACCAAGAGGAAACAGGTGAGAGGAATAAATTATAATTGAGCCAGGGAGGGAAAACGACAGGTGAAAGGAATAACTAATTAAGGGAGAGCAAACAGGCCAGATCATGACAGAACTTAAAGGGCCCCATTCAAGTCATTTTGACAAATCAAAGTTCTTTAGACTAGAGCTACATTGACCCAGCCAAACTCAAACATGCAAACACAGACGGGTGATCCACTAGTCTTCTCACAGAACCATCGCCCACACAGGATGCACCTACTCAACTGGAATGGAAAACAAGTCCTAGTAAAGTGAGTCTTGATTTCAACAATCAGATGTTGGTAGTCTGTTGGTTTCCAATGAGCATTAAATAAATTCCACAGTCTACCTGAGTACTTTTATAGAAAACATAAATGCCTTTGCACTCACATTTTACCCATCTTTGTGACATACAATATTGCCCTGCACCTATGGAAAAAAATCTTCTCAAACTGGTCCCAATGGCGTCCACAGTAACCTAATCTCAATCAAAAGAGCATACCTTAAAAGTAGAGATACAGATAATTCACAAAATGGATGTGCAGTTGCCAAATGTCAAGAAACCTCATGATGTTATGGTATATGAACCAAAATATTTGCGTCTAACAATGTATTATCTTTGCTAAAAATAAAAAAGTTTAAATGAAAGAAGGATATACCTCATACATTAAGTGGCATCTGTTTTTCAGAGGGGTAGCCAGACATTTTTATAATGGTGGCAAGGCAATAACCAATGTACACTGAGGGGTGGCTGAAAGCGGATCGGCACCAGAAACTCAGGGTCAGTCTAAACTGTTCCAACAGGAAAATTAACTAGCAAAATATCCATATTTTCTAAATAAAGACTAACTATACTTTCCTACAGCCTTTGCTAACAAATAGACGCATATATTTAAACATCCGTAATTTCTAGATAATAGGTATAGTGAATAAAACTCAGTTTTGAGTCCTGGAGCGTAAATCAATCATCATTGTCATTACTTACCTACTTGTAGAAATAAACATTCTGCATAAACTGGATATTTACAAGTAGCCTATTAATATCTACATAAATTGATTATTTGCCAAGTTTTTGATAAAATTGTTATTTATCTTTGATTTTACTGAAGACTCCTAGATGACTTGCAGAGACATAATTTTCTCTTTACCCCATATAAGACTAAATCTAGTTCTGAAAAGAGCATGACTTCTGTATTTATCATCTTTTATGTTAGTATATTGATTTGTGTATTTAACCACGAAAAAATAAAAATGCTTTGAATATTCCACTTGAGAGTATTACTGCTGCCGCCATCTGTATTAGAGGGAAAAAAATGGTAGGGGTGATAGGCAATGATTGGCTAAGGGTGGCCATGGCCACCTCTGGCCCCCCATCTAGCTCCCCCCTGCTGTTTTTCCTCTGTGGAATTATTATATAGGGAGATATTTTAGATTAAAGGCGGGTAATTAAAAAAAACTACCACAAACATTGTAAATTAAAAAAGCCCACTTGGTTCAAGGCCCTAATATGTAATATGTCCATCACGGGACTTAATTTACGTCCTTACGCATTCAGCGTAGTCAGAGGGCTTTGGTGGACTGTTTTGTACGTACCTTGCGTATTCAGCGTATCTGACGGATAGCAACCGCTTATGAGTCCATAGCAACCTGAAAGACAAGTAGGACGGAAAAGTTCTCAGCGGTTTTCTAGGTTGACCTTAAATATTTTTTGTGATGGATAGCATGAAGCGAAAGTCTCACGTTAAACGGGTTTTTGTAAACGACGTCGACGCATATTCTTCACGACACATTGCCGAGGTAACGGGAGAAAGATCGCAATTCCGGTCGCATTTAAAACCGACTAACTACTGTGTTTTCTCTTACCTTACCTGGTAAGGTTTTAGTTAAACCTGGAGCTGAAGAGGAGTCAGAAGATGACGAGTCACCGTCTCCCTGGGATGAGCCTGCTTTTCAGATCATTGGAACTGTGTCCTCCACCGAAGGGGAGAAACTACCTTTCCTTCACCAAAAATATGTGGTGAGTCCGCAGGTTAATTATTTAGTAAATACCATTGAAAAGGATATGTAAAGTGATTAGTTTCATTTTTGGGTTAAAAAGAAACAGAATCACAGTTCATTTTACTGTAATTGTGCATTGGGCAATGTTTTGGTGCTTTGGAGGCACATTCATTTCGATTTATGCAGCATTACCATAACCCTTAGATTACCATAATTATCCACAAAGAATTAAGTATTATGCCATCACTCAGAAGAAACAGCCACAGAATGTATCACCCACTTTAACAGACTGAAATCTGAAGTTAATCATAAAATGTTTGATGAAAAAAAAATGCATCCTAATCAGATCTTTCAACAGGACCATGATTCCTAAAAACATTATAACATCTGGGTTTAAAAATTTGTAGAATGGATAACAAGATTGGTATTGAAATGTCCCTCCCTAAGCAACAAAGTCTGAGCTTTAAAGCAGTGTTTGTCTCAAGCACCCACCAATTACTGCAAAGAAAACTATATATATATATGTATATATATCAGTCTCCATCCAGAGATGAGCTTTTGCAGCTGCTGCTGGAGTGTGATGTGGTCGTCTACAACGTCACAGAAAGCTCAACACAACAGCAGGTTGAAGAAGCAACATGGGCAGTGACAGGTATGGGTGGAAAATTACAAAAATTGCAAAAAGAGGAGACAAAAACAACAACAATCAAGTACTGAATGTTTACTTTTCTTGTGTCTTTACAAACAGCCCTGCTTAATGAAATGGAAAACTTCAAATCCCGGAAATATTTCATCCTCGTCTCTTCAGTGATGACTTGGGCGATGTCCAAGCCAAAAGAAGCAGTAAAAAATAAAATAATATAAAATATATATAAAATAATATAATATATATAAGTAAATAATATATATATATATATAAACAATAAGAAATTCTATTACCTAAATCTGTTTTTTATTATATATTTTAATTTCAGGATGAAGCAGAGGACTATCTCTCAGAGGAGGAGTTTATCCGAAGAAGGCCTCATCCTAGTTTCAGGAAACACAATAATCTGGAGAAACTTGTTCTCAAATTGCCCAGAGGTGTACGTAATATTAATGCCATGATGTTTATTTCATTCTACCCCAAAGTGAATAATATCAAAAGTTATAGAAGTTTTAAAAGAACACAATTAATTCCTGTAATCAATTATCCCTTTTACAGAAAACCTCTAAATTAAAAGGTTATGTAGTAGGAGCTGGACTTCAGTATGGAATGGGAGAGGATATCTTTCACTACTTTTTTAAGGTATATATATATCATCATAACAAGTTATTTCTACACGCATGCTTGTTTTTTTTTTTTTTTCATTTGGCTCTACCTCGGCCCTATTGTGGCTCCATGTTTCTTAACCCTCATCCAAAAATAGCTAGGTTATCCTAAGCTATTTTCTGTATTTTTGCTGCTATATCTTTGGGCTGCTGGATCACATAGGAACCACCTTTCCTTACTCTGCTTCATTCTATCTATATTCTCCCACTGTGCAGTATTTGTCATGTTCCACTCATAATATGTTCTATCTGATTTTTTCTCATCATAGTAGCTTCATCTAGTCTGTTCTTTCTCAGCTGTGACTCCATCCTGGAGAGAAATGTCAGCTGTGATGCTGCCATCAACATCTCTGTTCATAGATTTTTTTTCCCCAGTTTATTCCTGTTTCTTATAATGTGACTGGCGGAAAAATAAAAATTGGCTTAGAGCTTTTCTGCGTTGCTGTGTCTTTCTTGGATGGGACACCTGTGGAGCTAGTTAACAGTTACCTTTTGTATCTCTGCTTCTGTCTCCTTGAATACCAGTTGGCCTCTGCAGTTGGTCGCTCCCACTGAGCCTGGTTCTGCTTAACCCATTTAGGCCTAAAACGCCTGGAAAAAACACCTTAAAAACCTATGGCCGATTTTTAAAAATACCCCTAAAACCTGAAGTTTTTCTGTAAATTCAGCAACTGTGTCAACGCCTAGTAAATTATTGATATCTCAGCTTCTGTAGCAGATAGAACTCAAAATATATTTTATCTTTGAAATTCTTCCAAAAAAAAAGTGAAAAGCAGTAATCAAAAAAAAAAAAAAAATTCAACCTTTTATTTTTTCCATATGTGATCATGTCTTCATTGAGAATGTGCAATATAAAACGTTTTTAAAATAAAGAACAAACTACATAAATAACTATCTGATGATTACTAATTAACAGTATTATTATGCATAATAATGCATATGTCTGTGTTATAAATTGCATACAACTTACCTCCAGATGGCCACAAATCTGTCCCGGGACATATTTTGGGGGAACTGCGTCCTGAAGAGAGGTTTACTCTGTCGCCAATAATCTCTTCGTACTGGCAACACAAGAAGTCTCATGCCCATACACAGCCCAATAAATGTCTTCATCTCCGTCACAGTCACGGGTGACCACTTTGCCATCTTTGCTCTTGTTGGAGTTTGGTTTGTTTGGTCACTGTACCTATTCGTCTCGGTAACAAGATGCATCCAAAGTTCTTCATTAAAAATATGCTCAAATTCCTGCAGCGGTGTGGCGTCTGCAGGCAAATCCAGGTGTGCGGTTGAAAACACTCCGTGCATTGCGGTGGTAGTTCGATTGGTTCAGCACGTTCAAAGTCATCATTTTCATCTATACCGTCATCAAAGCCGACACACTCCTCAAAATCACTGCCTTCCGACAACTCTTCTCTGTCAAACTCCTCCATGTTTGCTTGAAAAAAACTTCTTTCCTCTTGCTTGACTTATATGCTCTCCCGGCGTCAATGGTAGAATTACGCAACAGCGCCCCCGGCTTGAATGGTAGAAATGCGGTAATGCTTTCCCGGCCTAAATGGGTTAAAGGTTTCTTCTTGTTAAAAGGGATTTTTCCTCTCCACTGTCGCTACATGCACGCTCGGTGTTAGGAATTGCTGAAGAGACCCAGGGGGAGCATGTCTTGCAATCTGACAGAATGATTTTTGTAAAATGCTTTGAGATGACATGTTTTGTGAACTGGAGCTTTACAAATAAACTGAATTGCATAAATTTGTGCTTTTCAGGTTTCATGGTTGTTGCAGGATCCAAAGGTCCCCATATTTGGAAATGGCACAAATTACATCCCCATGATTCATGTTGGGGACCTTGGAAGGTAAATCTATGGATTATTTTTATCTTTTTGGGAAAAATAATTGTATTTAAGCTAAGATGACTTTCTCTTGTTTCAGGGTGATCCAAAATGTCATTAAGCTGAAGCCAAAGTCAAAATACATCCTTGCCGTTGATGAATCCCATAACACTTTAGAGGATGTTGTAAAGGTAGTGTCAGAAGTTAAAATATAATTTTTTTGTTAGCCTTTAATTCTAAACTGAGATGCACACCGATTAAAGAATGTGAAAATGTTGGTTAACTCTTGCTTTTACTGTTTAGGCCATAAGTAATGTGCTTGGGCCAGAAAAAGTCTGCAAGGTCCCCCTGGAGGATGCCATCACCATGAAAGCTTTTAAGGTACATCAGGGCCAATTTCTTTTTTTTCTTCTTCTTTTTTTTTATATTATCTCCAAACCTCAAAACTTGAGTTTTAATGTTATATAATAAAAACATTGAGGCAATAGCTCAGATAAACACGGATCTGATTAGTTTGTGCCTCATTCCAGCCAGAGGAACTGGATTGCCTGAGCATCAACCTACGTATGGATGCTGCTGTTGACAGTGACACATTTAGTTTTAACTGGATTTGTAGAGATGGGATGGTGGAAAACATGGAGAACATTGCAGATGAGTACAAACGTGCAAGGCAGCTTCTTGTGAGTATTTCATCCTTCAAATGAGGGATAGCTGCAACCAACATTTGCCTTATTTGTGTCAACACAGTTTGTATCCAAAGATTTGATTCATTAAGTTAAAATCCCTTTTTGTTAATCAAATATAAGCTGTTATTTCTTCTAATTTTAGGTTTCTTTCATATTAAGTATGACAACAGCAAGTTACACTCCTTCTCATTTGTTCTGTAGCCAATCAAAATCTTCCTGGTTGGACCTCCGGCTGCAGGGAAGACAACTGTTGCAGAGAAGCTCTGCCAGCTCTACAAATTAAACCACATCAACATCAGCAGGATGATTGAGGAGAAAACTACAAAGCTGGTTAGTGGAAACATCTGAAGACATTATACGGCTTTATGGAAAAGACAAATAGAAATTAGCACATGGTGAGAAACGTCACATGGTTTTCAAACAGCTTTACAAATGAAAATTTGTAAATGCCAATGAGACAACAAAACAAAATTCAGTGTACACATTTGCCTTTAAAGGCTTTAATGCCCAAATCTATTCTTAATATAAACTCTGCTGTTTTGTGAAATCCTCAAAAATGTTGTGAAGAACATTGCTGAAAAAAAAACATTGACATGAAAACCAAGGAGCACATTAAATAACTTCACAGAAGGGTTAGGTTTTAAAATCATGCGATTTCAACCTACATTAAAAATATTTGGGTAGGATTAGTTGATTTTAACTTTTTCTTTACTTCACAATCACTTTTATGATGTGCTTTGAATTTATTTATAACCATAGATTCTAAATACATTGATATTTGGAGTTGCGACAAAAAGTAAAAGTGAGAAGAGTACTTTTGCAAGGTTGATTACAGCAGTTGCCACTAGATATCCTTATACGACATGCATAAACAAATGTTTTAGTGCTCATCATGTTTATATCTATGTTTTGCAGAAGGATTTGATAAATGAAGCTGAGCTTGATGACGTTCATGAAGAGGCTGCAGCTGCCGCACAGCAACAACTGGAAATTATTAACCAGAGCATGGAGAAGAATCAAGGTTGGTCAAAAATAGAGAACACAGTTTCAAAGGTTTCTAACAGTTAAGGCTGATTATTAAGGTTTGTTCTTTAAATTTGTTTAATTTGGGCTCACATCCTTATTTATGAAATAGAAATTAATTTTTTTTTCAATATTTATGGACAAACTCAGGGAAAAAGTGTGCAACTTGTAGAATGTAGGTAAACTTCCTATAGTGAAATTTTAAGTAAAGCCTAATTTATATTGGTTTTGAATTTTTTTCTTGTTGTTTTTGCAGGTCAGCTGGATGAGTCTCTGATTTTTGAGATTTTACGAGAAAAGCTGTACTCTAAGCCTTGTAGGAACCAAGGGTTTGTTCTTGATGGCTTTCCTGAGACATTTGAGCAAGCAAAGGTGATTTTCTCTGGTAAGTACAGTATAGTTTTTTTCAGTTAATGTAAAAATTAAAAGTGTTACTTGTGAAAGGGTGATTTTCTTTTTTGTTGGTCAGACGAGGAACCAGTGAGCCAGGATTCAGAATTAATCTCCAAAATCCCACGATACAACAAAATCATCACCCCAGGTTAAACGCATAAATTCATTGTCAAATAAATACATTGACCTTAAATAAATACATTGACATTAATTGCATTGACCTATAAGTGATTATGTGTTTGTTTTTTTCTTATATTTGCATTACAGAGCATGTTTTTGTCCTCGAAGCATCAGATGATTTTCTGATGAGACGAGTACAAGGACTCCCACAGAGCACAGCTGAGAAAATGAGCTACACACAGGAGGAATTTGTGCCTCGTCTGGCTCGATACCGGCAACTTTTTTGCACGCAGGAAACCTTGTTAGATTTTTTCGATTACCGGGAAATTCACCCACAATATATAGGTACAATACTGTCTGCAGAACTATATGTAATAAGGCCACAATGAGTCAACACAGCACTCCAAAATGAATTTTATCTGATCTGTCAGCACTACAACGAAAAACTTCTTGTGTAAAATGTCTCTTGCTGAAAAGAACAAATTCAAATCATATATAGGATTAAGGAAAATTGCATTGTTTTAGTTGCTATGTTTCACTGCATTACTGTAAGTCTGATGTATTCTCCAGAGATCAACTCAGAGGATTTGGAATACGCCGGTGTTATGAAGAAGATAACAGAGGATGTGGGGGTTCCCAGGAACTACAGTCCAAATCCAGAGGAGCAGAAAGACGAAAACAGAAGGAAGGAAGAAGAGATAAAGCAGAAACTGGTTCCTGAGACTGAAGAGAAGAAAATCAGGAAGACAGCTGCGCTAGCTGAGATGACAAAACATTATGAGGAGTGGGTAAGTCCAGAAATTGAGGGCTTTGAAAGAGCAGATTAACTGATAAAAAAAAAAGAAAAGTGTTAAACATTCTAGAGTGAAAATTTAATCTCTTGTGTAAATGCATCTATTAGAAGAAGAACCTGTCGGTTGTGGAGCAGGAGGAGTCTGAGCTGCTGGAGGCTAAAGCTCTTCCACTCAGAAACTACTTGATGAAGTATGTCATGCCTTCACTAAGCGCAGCCATGCTAGAGTGCTCCAAAATCAAACCGGAAGATCCGGTCGACTTTCTGGTACGAAAACATTAACCCAACAGAAAACCAGTGATCAGTGAATTCACAAGCATGTGCCATTAATAAGGTTTTGTTTGTCTTCTGCAGGCTGAACATCTTTTACAGAACAACCAAGACAACTGAATAAGATTATACAAACCATGATCTCTTTTATAAACTTATTTTGAACAGTTTGCTATGACCTATTTGTGATGGATCCATCTCAGACTCTTTGGATCTTTGAATATAAAGCCCATTTGGGATTCATAGTATATATACAGTATGTATATAGGTATATATTATAAGCCCAACTAGGGTATGTTTGGCTTGGTATGAAGACTTAGACAAACTTTGTCATTTTGTACACACAAAGCATATTTAAAGCAAAATTTCATTTGTACAGCTTTCATGACATTTCCATTTCTTGAAGTGCAGCAGTATTTAAATCTAAACAGAGAGTGAAAAAAAAACATAATCTGAAAAAAACATGTTGATATGGAAGTTCAGATCGTTAAATATATATCTTGAAATTTTGCAGTGTTTTGGTGTGGTGTTGTCAGTGTGATACAATCTTTGAAAGTTAAGTAAAGCATCATTTATTTGCACAAAAATCGAGCAAAATTAACCTGCATTAACATTGATTATTCATCAGACAAAAGCACAGCTTTCCAGCATCTCTTTTAAAAGATGTGAATTCTGCAGCAGTGGCTATCGTCTGCAACTCAGATGTCTTGAGGTTAAAAAAAACAAACAGTTTAAGACGTTTGTATTTAAAAGTCAGTGCAACTGAGTGAATCAAAACAGCCTAATTACCAAATGGAATAGCAATGTCCGAGAAATGGGAAGATTTTAAGAGAAGGAACAGATAGGGTACAAGAAAAACAACACTCCAATCGATCTAATAAATAAATGAAAACATCACCAATTATGCTGAACGTGCCAGTTTTATTAACATCATGTTTTTTTTGTTGTATATTTTTACTCTGAAGAAAAATCTAACCTTTAATTTTAGTGTTGATTAACGTGAATAAAAATATTCATTGTGAGGCAATAACAATCTTACAAATGCTGCACTCATCATAAGTAACATACCAGTAGTATAAAAGTAACCAATGGAGTGTTTAATTTATGCTTTTATTGTTAATCAGAGCATCCAGATATTTCACTCAAAGTCTCTTAGCCATTCTTCAAATTGGATAAGACAGAGGAAGATACCATTCAAGTAGTTGTTGATCTTTTTAAGCACTTTTTTAGCACAGCTGCTCTCCTAAATCTGCCAATATCGTCACTCAGAGCAATAATTTATCTTTATGCTACTATTTTAAGAAGATTAAACGCCTTCCAGTCTTCTCGGTAGGAAAAAAAAAACATTTCAAGTTTTCCTAATGACTAAATTACTCAACTAAGTCATCTTAAAACTGTACAATGCATAACACAGAAGGACCAAATTTCCAGCAAACATGCTAACTGTATCCAGGTTTGCACTCATCCCAGCTCTGGTCTCTTTGTGCATGCAGATGGTGAGTGACTCAGCCCTGGCTCTGCTGCAGAGCCAACGCTTACTGGAAGAAGGATTATACCCTAAATGTTTCCAGTAAAGATGTAATCGTGTGTAAAGTTCTCAAACGCACAAAAACTGAAAAAGGCAGCTCAGTTCTATAGTCTCTAGATGTTATTGCAATGAGTATAACTGTAATGCTTTGTTTGTTTTCTGTGATGGAACAAGATTAACAAAAGTAACATCTGCCTATCCTAAAAATCCTTAAAAAAACCGGATACATTTCAGAAAAGCCAAAGTCAAAGCTTCCTTTTTATCACTAGGGGGCGCTGAAGGTTTTTTGTTTTTTTTTGGTAGATGTTTTTAACTCTACACAAAGTCAAGAATAGCACTTTCCCCACTTTCTGTTTTCACTTATTAAGGGGGCTGCAGGATGGCTATTGCTTTGTTCTAAAATATGTAATTTCAGAGGATATTCTGTGATTTCTTTGTAGTTTGTTAGCAGACAGAAAAAGAGCTGAACGTTTTGAAAAATGTTTCTATTTTTGGGGAAATAAAAGCTATTATTGTGTTTCTAATCTTACCAAATAAATCACCAGACCATTACATTATACATATTGTAATTTGTAGTCTAAAACATAATGAGAGACCTGTTTATATAATATCCTCTATTACAATGTGAAGTAATTGCATAAGATGCTTATGTGGATTGATTTAATCAATCCATATCTCCCTCCTCTTATAAGATAAAGTAAAAAGGGTATGCAAATATAAGGCTTTAGCCTATTTCTCTTTTTTATAAATTACTTGTTTATTGAATTGTTTTTCAACTTTTTATCCTTTCTTTTAGCAGTAGTGTAAATTTACCAAAGTAAATAAATCAAATCCAGAAGGGAGATGCTCCGTCCTCATCTTTCACCAATTTGTCAAATATTCCCAGAGTTCTTAGAGGATTTTAACATAAATGTCCTTCTGCCATGTTGACTTCTGCACCCAAGTTTCTTACATTCAAATATATATAGAAAACCTGCAGAGAAATGTACCTGAAGTATCTGATCTCCTCAGATGATGGTGCTTCATTTCATATTTTTAAACCTAAATCCGAATACCCACCACATGGAGCTAATTTGTTCTGTTTGCATTTGGTACGTTATGATGGTTTAAATGTTAAACAGTTGCTTATAAAGTTGTCCCAGTGAAACCATAAATAACAAATGGGGAAGAAAACAGCAATATAGTTACAGTGCTTAGTAACTGATAGAAAGAAGACTGTATGAAAAAAAAAAGAATGGTATAGAAACAACTGCCTTCACATGCAAAACACTGGGTATACAATTAGAAATATACCTTATATGCTTTTTGGGTTATACTTGCTTTATTTCTAGTCACACTACTACGGTATATAAAAAGTGAATCTATTTCATCATTCTCTAAACAGTAAAACTGGTCTGGCATGAATGTGTTAATATTTTATCGATTTTAAGATCAAAAACTATAAAAAATGTTATCTGTTTAGCTTGTTTTATCAGAGATAGTCTAATCACCCAAGGACAGGAGAAACAAAACTAACTGGGAACTATTATTTGTTTAAAGTATATTGCTAAAGAAATAACAAGCAGCAAACTGGACTAAGGGGAAAAAAAGAGCTTCAATGTGAATTATGAATCTTGTCTTCAACAATTCACAATCAATTCAGCCTCTAAGAGCTTTTATTTAGTGAACAACCTATTATTCTGGGTAAAGAATTGTGATTAAAATGAAATGCTACCTGTATGTTTGGTGCATAAAATAAACCTCTCTCTCCTTACAAGCTGATTTCAGTGATCTAAAGCTAAAAAAGATGCAAACTAACAGATTAATTCCCTTTTTGTATAAATCTATTCAAAAACACTTGTGTTTGGGTAGATATCCTTTTAAACATTAAGAGGTAGTTGTTGCTATGAATATAGAAAACAATAACTGAAGTGTTACTGGTGTGTCCTTCCTTAGCATGACTGCAAATAGGAAGAGAAAAAAGTCTAGACTTGCCATGTGTGTGTGTTTGAATGTGTCTTGGTAGGAAATAATTTGTAATGCATCATGCATCTGTTGAAATAAAAACAGAGAAGCCTTTTTGTAGATGAAAAGCTCTATTTACTCCTGTGAGCTGGTAAAATGACCAAAGGTGCCCAGCAGTCTGTAATCATGCCATAAATGTGAAGAAGAATTACCCATATTTGGCTGACATCAACTGTGCAAAAGTTGTGTTTGTTATTCTATTTTTATGCCAGTTTTCATTCTAATTATTGCATAATGGCCAAGAATCAAGATAAAAGGTTAACTTGGGATGTGGTACAGACGTGATGTGTGTGTTTCACTCTGAAAGAGTCGGGAGAGGACTGTGGTGGTCTTGACCATGTTGTTTTATCTGCTAAGGTTCCAGTCACAACAGCCTCTACCACCACAGTGGTGGTCACAAAAACACTCACCCAAATGTTAGAAATTGCCTGCAATGCCCCTGTGGTGGTCTCCCAAACATATGCTGTTGGCTGAATGTTGGGAGGAGGACCACACACACACACACATACACACCCACTGACATATAATGGCTTTAATTGGACTGAGGAGAGCAGTGAACCCTCTCAGTATTTTCTGTTGCAGGAAACCCATGTTATCCTGCTTATCTTGTCTTCACACATTTAGGAATAAAGGACTTACTCACTCAGACATCTTTATGCAAGTCCATAGATGCACCGTCAAAATGTAGCATTAGGATAAACGTTTAAAAAAACTGGATTTTTAACTTTATGTTTGTGTTGGAGAATGGAATTGAGATGGCAGACTGGCTTATGTTGGTGTGAGCATCTGAACACCGACATGCTTTGCCGTGCATGCAAAGCATTCAGCCATAAGTGGCCGCAAAAGGTCAAACCTCATGTGTTTCAACCAGCATGTTCTCTGTGGTGTCAGGGGGGAAAGTGTTTTCAGTCATTTCCCTTCAGTGAGATGAGAACAGAATTTAGTTTTCAGGCTTGAATCTTTGTCGACACCAGTGTGTTTAAAGGTACGTCTCAAAAAATGAATATTGTGCTACTTCTCCATTTTATGTCACTCGCTCCAGAAAATTCTTGGTCATTTTCATTATTATAGTTCACAGATGAAGAAAAAGAAAAATCAGATGTATTGGCAAAATTTGAATATACAGTATGTAACATCAATAAAAACCTTTTAAAGAGTAATGTCAGGCTTCAGATACATATATTCATTTCTATGATTTTAGTTCGATGACTTTGTTTTATTCAGAAATGATCAATCTGTTGTAAAAAAGATAAGTATACAAATAAAAAAGAAAAATTGTACAGTAAAATATTTACACTGGATTTTTGAAATTATTACCATAGTAATACCTTAAAAGTTTAAAAAAACAATCCACTGGACTTGGTTTCCAAGATTTGAAGACGTTTCGCTTCTTCTCAAGGAAGCTTTCTCAATTCAAACATTTGAATTGAGAAAGCTTCCTGGATGCAAGTCCAATATACCAGTACCCACCTGGGCATCCACCCCCAAACACAGAGCACCACCAATGCACCGGCGGGCCAAAGCACCAGCCAGCAGAGGGTGGCAGGACAGGGGGAATGGGCTCCACACTTAGCGGAGACATGAGATGTTCTTGGGAGAGGGAGCAGTTCAGACCCAAACCTGACAAGTAAACAACAG